TTCCTCCTCTAATTTTTCAGTGTAATCGTTTCATTAATTCCTCCCTTCTCTCTCTTTTCAATTTCCTTTAATTTGTCGCGCTTTGCACTCTAAAAGTCAAAGAGTCATTCTTCCCTTTGCATGAAAAGCTTTCTGTCCCCTTTGAGTTTTTAGGTGTCCTTGATTTAAACTTTATAGTACTTTCAGTATATTTATTTTTCTTCTTTGTGTTTCTATTTAGAAATATGACTTTGTCCTTCTTCTTGACAAACTTGTTAAATTGTCCACATCTCAGTGTAGATTTCAGGAATAGTATTCACATCTTGCACAAGACAAAGTATGAGGCGTAGACACAACAGCTTCCAATACAGTATAATCGATAAAGTACACCACCATCACAAGGGATATCCTGAATATATCATGTCTGTGAATTTCTGTTTAGAAACATGACATTTAACCTTTAATACAACAGAGAAAATGACTCTCAAGTCCATCTTAGGAAACTCAAACATCATTTTTATCACAAATGTGAGAATTAATAGTCTAATTTGAACCTTCATACTTTTTTATGTTAGGTGTTTGTAGACGATCAGCTGAAATAAAGTTCATCATGTCTCTGACAAAACACTTCTCTATGCTAAACTATGTAGGGTAGCAACTGAATACATTGTGTCTTTATCCTTTGTAATAATTTAATACCTCTTAGGCAATTACATTACCTTCCTCCTAATATTATTTTTTCTCCGGTGAAATAACATTATGTGTTGCTGATGCTCCTTCAGGAAGAGTACTTTGTGTTATTATATTAGCTGCAGAAAAGCTCATCTTCCCAGCTGCATATGTCAGCACGCTCAACAGACCAGGGAACTGTGGTGATTTTATTTATTCATTTATTATTCACACATAATAATCTATATACAAATACTAGCCCATATTTGCATATGCATTCATAACATACTGCATTTACCATGCACTACTGCTACTTTGACCTGGATTATCAGAAAACTGCACTACTGGTTTCGCACATACCTTTGTGCTCACTGGTATGTGGTAAGTATGGTTCATGTAGCTGTCTCACCATGATGTTTTTATTATCTGTATATCTGCATCCTGTTCCTATCTATTGTATATCTCATGTCTTCTTCCTGGGCTAAATGCTAAATTTCCCTCCTAAAATCTTTTCAGCACACTGGTTACTGGTACTGTTAATGGTTTTTAACTGTTAAGCCCGAAGGCTGAATTGCATTGTGGGTATTACTGATGACAAGGCCACCTTCCTCAGTTTTGTAAAAGACAAGACCGCAATGCAAGGCAAATATATCTATACTGAAACAAATGTGAAACAGATGATTAGCTCACTTGGATTTGAGTTTTTAAGGAGAGAGCCAATAGGTGGCAGTATTGGCACTTTCTCTAAGCTTCTGTGAAACTTATTGGGGTTCCCAAACATTTCATCTTATCACTTCAGTTGTAGGACAATGGTGAACATTCAGACACCAAGTATTATGTGTGTTAGTTTATGGGAAAGCTACAGTAAAAGCTATTATTCTAAATACTGAATCTATTTCAGGAAACCTTATGAGATTAAATGGAGCAACTTTGCTTTAATGGTACGACGCAGCTTCACAGTTCTCTCTTGACCTTTGTCCTGCTTAGATCAATCTGCAGTTATGTATCTTAGGTTGACACTGCGGTTCTGGGTGCAGTTTGCAAGATGCTGGAGTAGGTTGTTTTTTGAAGGAATGAAAATGTCATGAATTCCCCCTCCCCACACAGACACACACCTCTCTCTTCCTAGAAATGAAATGCCTTGCTTGGGAGTACCTTTTAGTTTGTGAAGGAGGAAATAATATCATTCATCTCACCCACTTCACACCAAGCGGTGAACAGAGCCAAGTCCCCAGACTACCACCACCACCACCACCAGGGTCATGCACTGCATCTTCCAGCTGCAGCTTCGACTAACTTTTCAAACTGTTGAAACCACAACATTTCCTGTGCTAAGAGATATTTGTACTGCAGCAGAACTGATGCATTACAGAAACAAGATAAGAATCACATGTGATGGAGGAGAAATGCTACTGACACATACGTCTGCAGCGTCATTGGCTTCTAACCATAGTCTTCTGTCGGATTTAGTGCAAATCGCTGGATAAAACTGTGTAGCAAATGTTAAACGTTTTGCATTCCCATTCCAGCACTGCCCAATCATGCTAAAACACCATTAGCAGAAGCAGATGTTAGCGATATTTTTTTTTTCCTACATGAACTTGACTTTGTAGCATAGTTGCTGAGGTGACACATGCCCCGCAGGCAGGAACAGACTGAATTCCACCTTCAAGTCTGAAGTTGATTGAAGCAGAGGAGAAATGTTTTAACATGCCTGCAGTTGGAGAGGAAAAGGCCCCATAAAGGCAGCGAGCCGCTCTTTGTGTAAGAGCGCTGTAAAATCAGGAGAGGTTGATCATTCTGCTTGGGCAAATGATATGACAATACTGTCCACTATGTATATTAATAAACACATTGAACCACAACACCTATGGGATTTTAAATATAGTGCTCCTTTGACTTTTTGGATCACATTAGATGCATAATGATAGTTTGCATGTAGAAAACACTTTAAAGAATGAAAACTATATTCCAAAGCATTCACTGCTTTGAGTTTTCTGGTAATTCTGAAGGCTGAGAGGATTTAAATCACATTTGTTTTCGTTTTTTCAAAAGCAAAGCTGGTCTGAATCTTGTCCCATGAAGTGGTAAGGTCAAACAAATATCCATATCAGACCGCAGATGAACACATTTCTAAGCATGCCCCTAGAGAATGGACAAGTGCTCAGGCCAATCCAGCTGAAAATTTTGATTTCAAGACTCTTGCATGAGCTTCACACGTGACCATATGGCTCATCCCAATTGCTATTCAGGTTAGCTCAAATGCCACTCTGTTGCAAACTTAGGGCAGATTTACAATTATTTCCCCCCCAAATCTCAAAGAAAGTCAGTGCATGCCATATAAATAGAATATGGACATCTGGTGTGGTGGATTTAAAAAAATATATGCATACTGAATTATGTCCAAAAAGCATAACTAATATTAAACTGTGAGTTTGTTTTATAGTTTTTGTTTACCATTGTATCACCACCACTTGTTTCAAGAATGCTGATAGATTTAAATCAGCTAAATGATTAACTCTTTTTCTTTTTAAAGAAATACGCCATTCTTCATTTCTTGTATTAAGTCAACAATCATAATCCTTTTGCAGATATTTTTGTCTCGATTAGCTAGTTTTTGTTCCTTGTTTCCTTTAGCTTCAGTGTTACAAAATTCCTCGCTGTCTGACAGCATCATATATTTTCTGTATCGGCTTTTACCAACTCTTAATTTAAGCTATATGATGTTTACACTGATGGTAAATATTCAAACCTCTAAGATTCCATGTTTTTTTTATGGCTTCAGCAAATGGAAATATTCAGGATGTTGGTTGTTTTTTTTTTTACATCCTTTTATACACATTTCCCCAAAATTCAGCCTGACATTATTTGATATCTTTGAAAACTTTGAGCTCTCCACTAGACTTTAAAATGAAGTTCTGTGAGTTTGAACAATAGACATTGAAATTCATGTAGGGTGAAAATTCATTGGGATGTAAACTTTTGAACGTTGTCCTCTAAAGTCCAGACTGCTGCTATTCCCTCCCTCCCATCAGTCTTTCATGTGAACGGGCTGCTAACTGCTGGCTCCATCAGAGGGCCCGCTCTCCTCCCAGGGTACTAGAGTTAGTACAAAGGTGTGGGGGGGCAGGGCCAAATGGCCTCATAGGATTAGCAGCATTGTCCGCCATTGTCAAAGCTACACCCCAACTCCAGTCACCTCTGTAATCTTCCGACCTGTTCTCAATACACAACCAAAGCAGCCAGGAAGGGACCTGTTTGTCTGCTCTTCCCCCTCCCCCTCTTATTTCAGGTATAGTACATGCATAGTGTGTGACTGGTATATAGGTGAGCACTGAGCACTACTAGATTCATCACAATCAGGTCTTAGAAAATCATCAGAGAAGCCATTGTGATTGTTTCAGAGTCCCTAAAAGTGGTAAGAACAAACAAACAAAACAGAGTAAAAGCAAATCGAGAATGGACGCACTGAGGTATTAGATATGTTTATGTTCCTTTTTAGTGGATTATCCTTCATATCTTTTAAATTAAAGATAAACTTAAAACTTTTCTTTAATGGCCACCTTTGCACAGGTCTCGCTCTGTGATCAAAAACTACCAAAATGGTAAGCATGAGTCTTTGCAGGTATGTATAATGAAATACCTTCACCCCAGTATAGTATGGCAACTGAGCTTGTTTAGAACTAGATTCCAGCATCAGGTAATATTCTCACCTGCCCCCTCAGTCTGCTCTGACTACACCCCCTTGGCTGTTTAGACCCCACCCTTTCTGTGATGACCAATCAAGTTCAAGGCTCAGAATTTTCAAGGATAGAGACCCCCCATGTATTGGACTTCAGTGTTAGAACACCTGAAAGCACCACTTTGTCTTAAAGGTTCTGTATTTGACAACAAGAGGACACAGCAACATGCAGCACATCTCTGGTAAGTCTTATCTTGTTACACCAAACTTCTGTATGAGCATGCATGTGCACTGTGACACTGGAATTATTAATGATAAAACACACAGTAATGATGTGTTCATTTTGGGCTGTAGGTACATAGTCACAAATGCAAGATTGCAGTGGAAATCTTAATGAGGTCTTACTTTGCCTTATTTCTTATTACAAGACATTTCTTCCAGAGCATGAGAAATTGTGCAATTATATTAATATTTAAAAGATTTGAAGGGAAATATTGAGAATAAAATTTGAATTTTCAAAACTATCCAGGTATATCTCAGCGTTAAACATTTTAAGTGGAGCTGTTCACAGAGAGAAAAGATCTCTCCAGTTCTGCTACTCCTATAAACCCCATACTGCAATAAACCAGACATATGTTCTATAAATATGTTTTAATTTTTTGCAGAACATGCGTGTTTCTCCACAGACTCCAAATTGAATTTAAGCATGTCCAGGTCCCCTCCAGCAGCTGACTCATACCAGCAGGGCTGCATCAGGATGACCCTTGAGAACGCAGATCTCTGGAAGTCCTTTCACAGCATCTGGACAGAGATGATTATAACAAAGCATGGAAGGTAACAACGCTGCCACAGTTAGTCAGCTACTGAATTAAGACTTAATCCACATACTTGTATTTCTCTGCTTTCTAAAAAGACCAACAGTGATTTCTATAATATATCATATAGACCAACACCTATGGGAAATTGCCTGTGCTGAGGTTTTAGAGCAGAGAGTTTAACTGCACACAGTTCACGCAATTTTGTGAACGCCCACAGGATTTGATTCCAGTACTTTGCAAAAACATTTAAACCATTCACTGACTTTGTGTATTTGTTTCAGGAGAATGTTTCCACACTGCAGCATCAGTCTATCTGGGCTTCAACCTTTTGCCAATTATGTTGTCATGGTAGATATGGTTCCTGCAGACAGCTTCAAATACAAGGTAAATGCATTATGCAACACACACTGAGAAGTATGCACTGTTGTACTCCTTTGGGGTTCAGACACAACATTTTCATTTAGTATGAATGAGCTTTTTTAATTTCTTGATTTACATTGTTTTCCACATTTTGTGTGGTTTGCTGAAGAGTAAAAGCAGCAGATTGCAGTATGTAAAACAAAGCAGTCTGCAGCCAGACATTGGCCGGCCCACTCTGGGCCATTCACCACTGCATATCAAAGCCTTCCTGTTTGTGCACTCTCGGCTGGAAGCCCAATCAATTAGCATCCCTCCTTATTCGCAATCTGTGAATGAGGAGCAGTCAGTCATCCATACATTCAGTGGCTCTTACAACAACTGCTGTGGCCCATTTGGTTACAGATATTGTTTTTAGGGCACACGTGAAAACAATTAAGTGCATAATAAAGGGAAAGTACTGTAGGAGAGAACTGAGAGAGTTTTTGGTGGTGGTGAATTTGTCCAAAGTGTTTTTTTACGATTTTGTAAATTGTAACACAGGGAGTTCTTTACAGCAGTCCAATACACCCTGCCAACAAAGATGTTTTCATGCACCACAGCTCTCTTGCATTGTAGAGTGGAGGGAAAAAGCATTTCATGCTTCATGAAGAGTTCCGATTAATCAGACATGTCCTCAGAGTCTTACACTTCGTAACATTTAATCCCTCCCTGCCCCAATTTCTCTGTAGTGGAAAAAGGAGCAGTGGGAGGTCGCGGGGAAGGCAGAGCCCCAGCCCCAGTGTCGGACATACATGCACCCGGACTCCCCTGCCCCAGGGAGCCACTGGATGAAGCAGTCATTGTCTTTTCTCAAGATGAAGCTCACCAACAACACCTTAGACCAGCACGGCCATGTAAGACACCATCGAACACACAAATGATTATACCATGCTATGTTTACTTTTCACTTTACCCAATGTGTCTTTTGCTCACTCTGCCCTTTTTACCCAACAGATCATTCTGCACTCCATGCATCGCTACTACCCCAGGTTCCATGTCTGCCAGGCAGATAGTCCTTACACTGTCCGCTGGGGCCCATTTCAGACCTTCTCCTTCCCAGAGATGACCTTCACTGCAGTGACCGCTTACCAAAACCCAAAGGTAGAAACATGTACATCAGTTTTTCTGTTTGATTGAAACAAAAACTCTGCACCACCAACAGTTTGACAACTATCGTTCCTTTCCTTTTTTAAGATCACTAAATTGAAGATTGACCACAACCCCTTCGCTAAGGGATTCAGGGAGGGGGGCACCCACTCCCACAGTAAAAGGTAAGAATTCCATGTTTAACAAAGTAAATATAGTTTGTGTACATTGTTATCTGTTAAACTCTGTGCATCTTTAAGTTATATTTTTTAATATGAAAATACTTATATTTGTTGTAGATATTTGCAATCACCATACGTTGCTAAAAATATGTCTGCCAGTATGGACATAACCAACAGTGAAAATGAAATCTGAGTGGACAGAAAAGTGTAAATGCTTTAAAATTTGTTATGCTTTCATAGGTGTCGTTCAAATAGAAGCCCTCCCGCAAAAAGAGCTTTCCTGGACAAGAAAGCTCTTTGCAACAGTCCCCCAGGTAAGTTTCATCATAATTAAGTAAAGTTTTTACTCCTACAGCTTGTGTGAATTCATACTATGGCAAAAGATAAAATTCCTTGTGGTATTGTTTAAATCAACACGCCAGTGTCATTACACTTCTATGAGATCCTATTAAACATTGTATTTCCCTCTCAGACCTGCAGAGGATGCCCTCCACCTCTCAGTCAGTGCAGGCAATGAAGAATCAGGCCTCCACACAGCCGTTATTGAAGGGGGGTCACCTTTCAGCCTGGGCACTGGAGCAGGACCCATCCAAGAGTCCACACGCTGAGCCCCCGGAGCTGCACGAGTATGACTACAGCTGTGAAGAACAGATGGTGCCTGCATCCACGGCATACCAGCCCTACAGGTATGACTTAAGATATCCAGGATGAGATCAAATCTAATGAGACTTAGTTCAGGAAAATAAAATATAAACATTCATATCATTTGAATGTAACAACAGGAAGCAGTAATGAGTAATTCCATGCACTTCACACTTTTATAACTTCATAGACTTCTTGACTACTTAAAGATACACAGGCAGTAAGCATGTCTTTTTCTGTTCTCCAGACCTGCGGAGTACGCCAGATTTCCATTGCCTTCCAATGACGTGGATCCAGCATACAACCCCATCCACCCTCCCCCTCATCCACTTGCCACAGCTGAACACAACGGCCAACAACATGGCTACTACAACCATCCCCACCACCATAGCCACGCAGCGGATTGGAGCCAGTACCCGCTCTTCTCCTACTCCAATTGGTGAATGTTGACCCTGTGCAATTGTGACATCACCAGTGGAGGATAAAACCACTAAAGCCTTGAAGGAATGTTGTTAATATGACATTTACTCTTTTTAGCTGACGCTTTTATCCAAAGCGACTTACAATTGATATTTTTTGTTAGAGGTTGCACGCCTCTGGAGCAACTAGGAGTTAAGTGCCTTGCTCAGGGACACACTGGTGTCACAGTGCGGTGTTGAACCCTCTCACACCAAAGGCATGTGTCTTATCCACTGCCCCATCATCACCCCTGAGTAGGCCAGCAACTGACGGGCCGCTGCAGTACTTTGTTTTAAAAGTGTATAATTGTGTATAAAGTTTTATATATTTCCAAGAGCATGTATTGTATGTGGAGGTCACTTTAAGTTTTGTCAGTTTAACTGGACTCAAATTGTATTCACCTGAAGTGGATCACACATATGCAAGTTCAGTTTGAGCTTATATGAGCATATATATATATATATATATATATATATATATATTGTGTTGTATCCAGTCAGCTGGGAAATAAGTGTGAAATTGAATCTGCAGGTATGATGAAAAGATACTCATATGTACTCTGAAAGAACTTTAATAAGACGTGAGGGTATCATATTGAGGTATCAAAGTTTTTTTTTTGAAAAGCCTCAAACGGTTTTCCTCAAATACTGATCTTGTGCTCATCTATGGCTGACAGATGGATGCTTTGGACAAAATGACAAAAAGAATTTAATGCATAACAAAATTTACTTTTTTTCAACACTGTATGAAAAAAGATTGTCACATTGTGTCCCAACCATTATCTGCATCAAAAAATACAAAAAATGTTGTATATTGGTGCTAAGTAAAGTTTTCCCCCAATAAAATGGAGATGAGCAGTAACGAGTACACTTGTCTGGCACTTAGGAATGCTTTTACAATGATTAAGGACATACCGCTAATCTGATTCTTAATGGGTTAGGCTGTGCTAAATATATTTGAATGTGAGCCCCAAATCCATAAACAAGACTAGAAAAAGAGCATGCTAACATGCTGATGTATAATGTTTACTATGTAGTTTATCGTGATAGCATGAAAACATTTGCTAGTTTGCATTAAACACAAAGAACAGCAGAGGCATAGGGGGTCATTCCATGAACATGAATGTCTGTACCAAACCTCATGGTGGCTACAGAAAAAACTAATTAGTCAGTGGAATTCATCCTCATGAGTGTCTATACAAAAATTTTATGGCAATCCATCCAGAAGTTGTTGAGATAATCTATTTCTGTCTGGACCAAGGTGGTGGAACGCCCAATAAACTAACACTGCCATCTACAGAGCCTAGTGTGGCAAAAAAAAACAACTTGAAAATCAATTCATATTGACCTGCCAAGGTGCAACCATAGTTCCAGTTACCACCAACAACACATAGACATGCAGCTCGCTACTCTCCAGCACACTTTCCAGTCAATCCAAACAAGACTGTAATGTCATGGAAACTCTCTACTCTCTGTGGGACCCTGATGCTCTACTAATCCATTGCTGTATTACAACTAACTGAGAATTCGGCTATCAAATGTCACAAGAACACCAACAATGTCTTCATCAGCTGTATTTGAACGGTTTGAGTGCAAGCATTACGCAACAGCACATATACAGGAGACAAAGAGTGAGAACGATGGAGCAGTGAGAGACTGTCCTAGAGCAGTGAGTCTGACCTGATATAGTGATGACAGACAGCTAGTGTGGAATTACCATCATAGTCTGGCATAGTTTCCCCAGCAGAAGGCAGGAACGTCTGTGCTGTAAATGTTTTATGTGAGAGAGAGCGAGAGAGAGGGGAAAGCCATATCTGGGACATTTATAAAGCTTGAGGGAGCACACTGCAAAGAATTTTTTTAGAGCACATCAACTGCCGTGTTTTTACGTTATGCACTTTTTTAACATCACTGTAAAAAAGTATATATAAGGAGGCAAAATCTTGAATGGTATCCAACTTGGAGCAGATTTTGTTTCTGTCCATTTTTTTTCTAAATGAGACTTTATAAAAACCAGACATGCTGGCTTAAAGGATGGTTGTTTTAACCTCCAGGTCTTCCTGGGTCATCTGGGTCACCCACATAGCTCATCCTGAATTCCTCTCACCTCGCTATAAAATGAATTATAGTCCACAGATAGGGGTCAATTAGTGTGCTTGTGTTATAATTCCAGTACCGAAGGGCATGTGAGCATTTAATCAAAGCTGTTCAGAGTCAACCAGCTTTGTTGAGTTCTGTTCTGTTACCTAGACAACATCATGGTAGAGCTACTTTAAAACATCAAGAAAAAATGCCAGTTCAAGCTAAAGAAGTCCTTGATAAAAAATGTCTTTCAAACAATCTGCTGGATAAAGTTAATAAAGTTAGGCTTATTAAATTCCATGCCTGAATGTGTCAATCACATTGCTGATGAATTAATGGGCTTACATCTTGTCCACTAAGACTACTTATCAACAATTGATAAAATACTGGGAGCCCTGGAACCTTTTCACACTGCTTCAATGACAAAAACCTAAAAAAGGCAGCATGCAGACTAATGTAAAGCAATAATGTTAAGAGTTCATGTTCATTAGCAGAATTTCTATGAACATTATGATTAATCTGATGGTATAAATTATTCTCTGTGTGAGAGCCGTTACAGCTCTAAAGTCACTGATGGCTCAGCAGGTTCAGTAAAAAGGGGGCATAAACAGAGAGATGGTGGGTTCAAAGTAGGGCTGAACAAGTAATCGAAATCTTATCAAAATCGCAATATGGCCAACTGCAATTTTTAAATCGCAGTGTAATATTTGTTAAAGGCAAAATGTGTGTCAAAATAAAAAATTTTATACAATATTGCCGTGCTGCAGAGATGTCCTGGCCTACACATGATATTGTTCAGACTATAGAAAACATCTTTGTCTGGTACAGATCCCCACAAAAATCACACCAAAATTTATTTTAATATGTTTTTCAATGAAAATGAGAATAATTAGGTTAAGATTATCATTCCCTCCAATATTGCAAATCACGTCACAAGTGCAATATCAGTCAAAAAAAATTGCAATTAGATAATTTTTCAAAATCGCACAAGTTCAAAGTCCAGCCAAACAACAAGGAACTTGCGATTTCACATGTCCAGGGTATGCAATTCTAATCCAATACACGATTACATAATTTCTAATTTCTAATTTCAATTTCTAATTTCAATTTGCCAAGACATGCTGTTGTTGTGATGTTAGCTATAGCAGCAGGGGAGTTGTGAGCCGGATCTGGTGCGCTGGCTCTAGGAAACAGTTCTCTCTGCATGTTAGCTTTGCTGCAGCAACAGTAGCAGTAGTTTGCTAACCGACAACTGAGCTAACGTTAGTTACACTACTTGCTGTGTTGCTGTTTGCTCTATATCATGGTGTTGGTCATGGTATTGAATTTCTCCAGAATCACTTCAATGTCACCAGTGACAAAATGTTTTTTTAGCTTATCATTGTTTTTTTAATGCAAACCTTTTATCTTCATATTTTCAGACAGCAAAGATTCACTGCACATTCACCTCTGCTCTACAGCTTGTTTGAGGGCGGTGGTGGTAACGCACTGTAGAAAGGCCTTCATCGACCACACTACACATCCATTTACACACACACACACACACACTGACACTGTGCCCTGAGGAGAGGTCAGTCAGCTACATTTGATTCATTATGCTCATTTTCACTGCAGCCAGCGCCTATCACAGTCCAGAGGAATACACTGATTGGCTTTAATGGCAGTTTAACCTGGTACATACACACAATGCACAAGGCATCCGGAGGTAAAGGCCAGACAGTAAACTAAATACACAGTTTCCCTAATCATGGAATAGTTGTGAAAGACATAATTTGAAAAGATTTTACTAAAATTAAAGAACATAGAACATCTTACTACTGGCACAAAAGTCAAAACACAGTCTCTTGACTTCTAGGGGATGGGGTGTTGGCTGTTGGTTGGCTGAGACAGAAGAGTTTAGGAAGATGATTAAGGAAATTATATAAATCCTCTGCTACACTATGCTTAAGTTATCTGTAAGTGTTTCAAATTTTCTGTTTTAAATTGAAAATGTAGAATTGCTTTGATTGCATCATATGCATTTTTACCTGAGCACCATCAGCATAAGCTGTGATTTCAATTTGATCATCTGTTCCTGTGACTTCCTGTGATATTTAAGCCAAAATCTATCCATTCCCTCACAGTCCCCAAAAAGCACATAAGACAACACATCTTCATTTGATGGATAAACTAGGCTGTGGATAATCAATGAGTGAGCAGTCTCAAGACATGCTGCGTATGAAGACTTGCTATCTGTGTAGAATTGTAGTATTTTACAGTCATTATACATTTACTATAGATGCATGTATGCCTGTGGATACTACACATAGGAACAGTTGCATAACCTAGCATATTTATATATGCCACATATATGGGTGGCCCAAAGGTTAGAGAAGCAAGCTTGTGACCGTGAGGTCGCCGGTTCTGGGTGTGGAAAGTAAACCAAGCAGTGCTTGCTCTCCCTCAATTACCACCACTGAGTTGCCCTTGAGCAAGGAAGGCCCCAACAGCCCAGTGGAGCTGCTGAGTGGCCAGAAGACCAGGCTGCGGTTGTACTGGGCAACTTCCAGGTGTGAATGTGTAACAGTGTGAATGTGATAAGGGCCTTCCTGCAAATGAGAAGTTGCTCGCAGTGAAGCTCCCTGAATAAATAAAGGTTAAGGTTAAAAAAAAATTATATATGCTTCAATAAAGTTCCAGTGGAGGGTCACTGTGAATGGTTGGGATGTTCTTACATTTTGTAACATAAAGCCCTGTTATCCATAATGGCCCGCTTATACACCAATCTTCTGTCACCAGAAGCACCTGATCCGGAGTCAGCTAATCTATGCCATGAGTACAGTAAGAATAGTTTTGTTTTTAAAAAGAAGTGCACCTTAAAGGCATGACAGTTGGGCAATAAGGGCATGTCCTTTCTACATTATAGTTTAAGTAATTGTAAGGGTATGCTAATTTTCAATCCCGTATACATTTGTTTGCTACTTACAGTGCTGCTTGAAAATTTGTGAACACTTTACAATTTCTGAAAAAATGTGATCAGGCCTCATTCAAGTCCTAAAACTAGGTAAAGAGAACACAGTTAGCCCACCTGAAGTTTGCTAATGGCCATGTGAATTAACCAGAAGGCTTTTGGAAGAATGTTCTGTGGACAGGGAGTCCAAAATAAAACTTTTTGGATTAAATGAGAAGCGTCATGTTTGGTGGTGAAAGCCAAATGCTGCTTTCTAGCATAACAATGTCATCCCAACCGTGAAACACGGTGATGGCAGTCTCATGGTTTGGGGCTGCTTTGCTGCTTCAGTGCCAGGGTGGCTAGCAGAAATACAGAAACCTAAAGGGGCACTGTACACATCTCCAACATTTGTAGGACCTATTGGGTTATACTTGTTTGTGCCTGGGTTGAAAAGTGCTGAACAAACAGTCACTGAAGATGCTCATCTGAAACATTGCCCTTGAAAAGTTTTCCGGTCCCCATCTGTAGGTCAGGTGACTTTCTTTAATTAGCACTTCATTAAAATTCATTAATTGCTTCCTTTCTCCTGGGCGCAGCCAGAATCAAAACTGGAACTGTCAAAAATTAGAGCAAGAACAACTGTCCTGTGCTCTAGATACACAACCTGTGACGACAGGCTGCTGCAAACAGGTCCACACGCACCCCTCGGTGTCTTAAAGACAACATATAGAGGACAGAGATACCAGACGAAGCAATTTAAAGAAGTAGACGTAAATTTTATTTACTTGTTCTGTACATAAAGGGTCAATACCAGCACAGGTGTTAACCACGGGAAATATTAACACATGTAAATGGTATAAGAAAATAAAAGGCACAATTTTCAATTCTTAAGTAAAAGACAGGCTTTCCTAGAATATGAGAAGAGAGCACAGTAATACTGCCATTACAAAAACAACTCTGAAGCATGAGGAAAAGCTCACCTCAAAGAAAAGAAAATCAGGGTGTATTGCTTAATTAGTAGATTTCATTAAGTTTGATGAGGAAAACCCACACTGGTTTGATTGCACACACACCAGGAGGGATTAAAATAACAGAAACCTTTATTTAATTAAGGACATAAATGACATTAAGCAGCATTTGGCCCGGTAGAACCATCTCCCCGGCCAAGAGGTCATGCACATAGGCAACCAGCAGGCATTTTTTCCCTTTTGTAAATGTCACCATAGGTACTTTTGTTTAATACACCACCACTCATTGTAACAAAAATGCTTGATTTAATAGCAGACTATAAACTAACAAAACAAAAATAAAGCTAAATTGGGATACAACTAAAAGCTGCACAATATTACTGAATGAAGGGCCGAGCAATGATTTGAATGGAAAGCACCAGAAGAGACTGGGGTGAAATGGTTCATTTTTACAGCAGAAATCTGGGAGTCGACGCCGTTTGCACAACTGTTTAATCCTCGGCTCCTACTGATCAAATAAAATTGGTTGCAGCGCAGTACGAACAAAGATGCTTTCCACTACTCCAATAGTCTGTTTGCATAACGAGAGACAAAAACTGCACGGGCCAAATATTTAAGCAATAAAGCTGGTTGAAATCCTAAACTGACAGGAGTAACATTACATGGTTTGAGAGGGGACTGCATGCGCTAAAAGATGCATTTATCTTACTCTCTGAAAAAGGCATCAATGGGATCTCATTGGCTTGTTGAGACATTTCCTCCTTTCCTGACATACGCCACTGAGTGTGGAGTTTCTCATAGTGGAAAGCCTTCAGTCCCCTTGCTGACACTGCGTTTTTAGCTAGCCTTGTTCTCAGATGCTTGTGGGAAGTGCTGCTCAGGGCTAATGCCGTTGATATTTGACTTCTGAAAACCTGTTCAAAGCTTTGCACTCCTATGCAGCAAGTTGAAATATATCTTCTAGTGCTTGTTACTGTTGACACTAAAACCTGCTAATCTCTAAGCAATGTCCTGTAAGTACAAAATAATGCGAAGGACAGTAAAGGGAGGTACCAAGTGGACATGCAAAGTTAACCCTCAACCATACATCTTCTCAATGTCACAAATTACAAAACAAACAAACAAAAAGTTGATCATGTGGCACAAATAAGAAAATGATAAAATCACATATGGCCGTGTCATGTCTTATTAACAAAAGATAAATACGTCTGCAGCCAGACTTGTGCCAGGTTCAAGAGTGGATGGGATCATGGGATCTAAGAATATACTACCAAGCTATATCCTCCACAAAACCATTGCTCCTGCTTCTTCCTGACTCCAGGCACACATCACATACACATCAAAAACCTGTCAACCTGAATCACTCATGGCTAGTAAGTGTGTGCACATGCGTGTGTGCTTGCTTGTATGATGGTTAAGGTACAACAGTGACTTGATTGTTTGGAGGATTAACATTTGACTGGCTGGTTAGCTCCTCATTGCCTCAGTGCTCTCCCAAGTCCATAGGGATATTGCTTTTCCCTACTTCGTACAAATATCCTTACAATAACAAAACAAACCAACACGTTTTAAAGTCCCAAAGACTTCAAACTTAACAAATATTCAGAGAAATAAAAAATAAAAAAGACAAAACAGACATGTTGTGATGTAATGTGGTAAATATCTATTGTGAACACACACACGCGCGCGCGCACGCACACACACGCACACACACACACACACACACACACACACACAGATGCCCAGTGATCTGGAAATGAAAAGGACACAAATGCAAAAACACTGCCCAGCCTGGAACCAAGACATGGGAGAGGGAACAGGGAGAAGTGGGGGCAGGTTTTAGTTTGGATCCAATGTCCAAAGCTGTAAACAGTCAGAAAGCCTTGCAACGGTTGGTAACAACAGAGGGGTCACTATCATTGTATAGCCCCCCCAAGCAGGCAAGCACGTAACCGTGGTGACACTGGCGGGAAAGGTGTATGAGAGCCAGCACATTCAGGTACAGGGCGATACTGGCGAGAAGGTCAAGTCGAACTCTTAGGTCAGTCACTCTCGTCCGGATTCTGGGGGTCTATGATTTTGACATGGGTGAATGGGAAGAGACCCCTCCGTCCATTCACCTCTCCCTCCCACTGACCACTGATGTTCATCCGTGTAACCATGACGATGTCACCAACCTGAGGAAAGAAGAACAGGAGTCCGAGTTACACGAGGAGCAGGGCTTGTTTGCTGTAAATCTAAGTCAGTTTTTAAATTACATACAACGTATGACGTGCAGTAGGGTTTAGAATTATTTTGTATCCATGTAACACAAAAATAAATCAAATTATAAATAATTTGGTCAAACTAAAAAGTGATGGTTTGAGTGAAGTGCCTTACAGAGACACATTTTGTTTAGGTGACCATGACATAAATGGAACTCAGCCAGCCCCCGTTATCACAGATTAAGTCCTATAACACAACAACTCTCCATAATGTCCTGACAACCCGGGAAACGTGACCCTTTTGGGTCATTTAGAACACATTTACCATAGCCACCAGTCAAGTATCACCATTTCTATTTAAAAAAGGTACCACACCATTTGCTTTGACACAGTCAGTGGAGCAAAGAAATTAGTTTGCAAGGATGATTTTCACACAATGCACTGCACATTAATTGAATCAAGTTTTAAAATTGCTGCACCAGACTATTGTGAAGATACATTCAAAATGAGACAAGAAAAATATAGTTAACAGTCAAAATTCTTCACAGCCCAAGGACAAACCAAATGCATTTGGCACATGGCCACTGCTCCAAAACTACACTAACTGTATGTGTGAGCTCACACAAACACAACTGATTAATAATAAATCCACATCTGCATTGCACTGCACTTTAAGCAGATGACAGAAGCACATAGCTGTGGCTCTGATGGGTTTGTGACACTGATTATGAGCCCAGTCTGTTAAAGCCATATGTTCTTTATCAGGATTAGAAGGGAAAAGTCCCCATCATAACCATAATTGAAATGTGAATGCGAGGCTACACTTTTTTTAGCTTTAGCTTCAGCTTCAGAATGAGGCCTCAAGGACTTCTAGTCCTAGACATTACCTGTAACAATAATCCTTTACGCTGCCCTGGAATTACAAGAATGCTGTTTAGTCATAAAAAGCTGAAACCCATCGGTCAAGGAATGATTAAAAACTAAATCCGCCTGTTTGAATGACTCATGATGTAGGGGCATTACACTGCCATCACAAGTTTGCCTTATATGTATTTATGTTTTTCTATTTATATTAAGAGTTGAATTATATATCATGTTTCAAGGGTTAATCGGCGTGTCTTCATTCAGAAGAGGCTGGTTGTTATGAATGCAGATTTTGATTATACCTCTTAAGTTAGTTGACTCCTTATTAACCTAGAACATTGAAGTATTTAACATATCAAATTGACTGTGACCACGCAAAAGCTAAAGTATTCACCTAAAAGAATTTAACTATTACAAAAGCAATAAAAACAGCCTGAAAAGCAATAACCGGATTTCATTTGTGGTGAATTGCCTGCCACTGAAGTGAATAAATAATGACTCATAAATTCTGCTGCTTGAATCCCAGCAACTCCAAAATAGCCATAGTACAAAACTAAAGGGTTTTTGCTGTAAGCCATGATCTATTCTGAGAGACGCATAGAAAAGACACGATGAGACAAGGTAAGGTATGTGTTTTCAGTGCAAAGAAAGTTTTAGGCCAGTAAATCAAATATACCATAGGAAATACTAAGTTTTTAATTAGTGTCTTTTTAGTGACTTGTTTCAAGGGTTTCTGGTGGCTTCCTTCTCCCGATTTATGTAATTACAACACAGACTACTCTATGTATTTATGCCTAGCTTCTTGTACTTCTTTTCCAAAATAGATAAAGGAGAGAATATTTCAGGAGTGTAGACTTTTAAAAACAATTAAATACATAATATTGAAGGCAAGTGACTAGTGTAAGATTAGTATACATTTTATGAAGAAATTAGTTAAAATGTAGACTTTTGCGGACAGAAAGATTTGTATTTATCCAGAACAGATCCGACAGAGTAAGGGTTTTCCATCAGTACTCCTGTTTTAGGTTGGGGTTGATGTGAAGGTAAGTGAGGAACAAAATGCATCCCAGAAGAGTAGCAATTGTACCTGCACTGTAATTCAGTACATACATCTTTAGAAAAACCATATGCATGTTTCTATTATCCAGTTCCTAGAGGACCTCGCACACACACACACCCCACATACAATGACAATAGCATCTCTATTTCTTAACGGTAGCTAATGAATAAGTCAGAACATATTTATGCAGCATCAATTCTCTCAACTAACTTAACCCTTTACATTCTACCAGTCTTCGTGGGAAGCGCAGCCCCTCTTTGAGCGACACAGTAGGTATTAGAGCCAGCATGGCCTCTGCTGGATAGAACTATGATTCCAAAAAAACAGACCTGCAGCCTTAACATGGACAATGTGTAGATAGGCACAGCTTCTGTACCAAGGTTATTATAGTTTTGGATTTTACATTAGTTTATTTTTATTCTGTTTTGACTTTGTTTTCAATTTCAGTTTACTTTTAATTAGTTTTTAACGTGGGTTTGTTAGAATTGGTTTTTGAAAATGCTTAGTTTATTAGTTTTAGTGTTAATTTTAGTCTTAGTCTGCCAAGCTCAGTTTAGTTCAGTACAGTTTAGTGTTTTGACCAAACATTAAAATACAAGTACAATCATTAGAAATAATGCAGATTTGTGAAAAGGGACACCCTTTAAGCTATCTGAAGCTTGTACATAGGGGCCCAAACACTAAGCACGTGCGCATACACACACACACAAAGTACTAACACATTGTCTAAATAAATACTACAAATAAATGAAGTACATGCAAACTACAGTATAATTTCTAACCTACATACAGAAAAGCTTAAGAGCTAACTACACTAATCCTACTACCCAGTGGTCCCAAGAAATTCATTACATCAGTCTCTAGCTCTATCATTCTTGGTTAAATAGGTGAAATGCAATAAATGGAGGTGAACTACAATTGATGGACAGCTAAGAAAATGGAAGATAGTGTAGGCCCCCCTTGGAGTCACACACAAGCACCTTGAAGGCAAGTATGACTGGAAAGCAGTTATATTAAAATCTAATCCTTTATTAATCAAAAAATAGGTATTAACACAATGTGAAGCACCAAGAGACCAGGTTGGCTGAGATATCAACAAGCCCATAACACACACACACACACTAGCTGTAAATATAATGACCAGCAGACACGTTAACGCAGCGCAAGGAGAGCTCACAGTCAATGTACTAGGGGGCAAGTTCATCTCATATGCAAGATGAGCTCTAAGCAAGACCATCAGAACAGAACAAAACAAGGAAAAGAAAACCACCAAGACAGTAACTTTCTACCTGCAACCCAAACTAAACCCAACTCTATACAGTTGTTGGACTCATTTTCTACACATGTATGCAGGGTTTTTCCTGGCTCAGAATGGGCCTTTGGGGGGTGACTTTGCGTGACAGTAAAGCCCCTTTTCCACTGCATAGTACCAGCTCGACTCGGCTCAACTTGCCTTTGTTTGGTTTTCCATTGCATAAAAGTTGTACCTGTACATGCTTCCAGGTACCCCCCCCGCCCCCAATATCACCTCCGTCGAGGTTCCAAGTGAGCTGAGGTGAAACTAAAATGTGAAAACTGAATTGGTCAGAGAGAATCATCACTATTCACTGCATCATCATTGTGCGCGCCAGATAGAGGCAAGCACCACAAAGTTTTATATTTTATAGTTTTTGTATATAATTTCAGCACTAAATCCACTTCTGAGAAGTTTTGAGGCGAGAAATCAACTGTGCAGATTTAGAATATTGACAGTTCTATGAGAAGTGATGGCGGAACAAAATTTTGCTTCAAAGTTTTCTGAGTTGAGGAACTCCGCAAGTGGCGGCGGGGGAAGCCTGCGGCAACACGTGGGAGGAGCTTGCGAGGTCGGCCTGACGCCTGCTCACAGAGCCCTCTGCTCCCGCCGTCACACAGACCGCAAACAACGGCAGAGGAAAACACAGCTGGAAGGTTTTCATGCCGCTTATCTGTTTTACATTCTGAGGAATGTTGAAACGTTTTAACTTAAATAAAGAGAAAGCTGTGTGGATCACTGGTGTGTGTGTGTGTGTGTGTGTGTGTGTGTCACATTGAACTTTACGTCGTGGCAGTTGTGTGTGGCATTGCTACGACGACCAACTACATGGAGGGGTACTATTTCTGGGTACTATCTGCAATGGAAAACGGAGTACGGCCAAACCGAGTTGAGCAGAGACGAGTCGAGCTGGTACTGGAAAAGCGCCATAAGTATGGCCGGTATGTGTACAGTAAAGGCAATGAGTTACCTTATGACCAAAATATATGTATTTTTCCTTGTAATTTCTGACCAACTGATAAACAATATATCTCCACAACCTGGAGGAGTAAAGGTATAAGAGTAAAGTATAATGTTAGTATAATAAATTTACAGGTTACACTTGATTTGGATAATTTGCTTACGGATAGTTTATTAGTTGAGATTCAGCTGTTGCACTAATAAAACCTTTCTGATATTAGCCTACACTGTGGTTAAGGTTTGATCAGTGCCAATGTTTGTATATTCATTATAATTTCAGATCATAGTAGGCTAAAGGCTACTATAGCTTACCATTAGTAGCTTAATATTAATTCTAGTTGGACAAAACAGTAGTTAAATTTCATTGGGTTGTTTAGTCATTCAATTATTGTGCAAGACAAATGCTTGCACAATAATTGATATATATTGGTGGTCAGTCTCTCATTTGTTTATGCAAAGTAGCCTACTAACTTGTCAATAATAATAACCGTGTATACAGAACGACAAGTTCAGCATTTCTAAAGTTTGCTGTAGTGCCTCAACCTTATTTTAATGTCCCGCCTACTCCTGGCTGTGATTGGTTGGTTCGCAAAAAGTGACTTTGATGAGCCTGATGCACACAGCTGCACGAAATGCTCCTGATCTCCCTGCGGAGATACTACTACTTCATGCGTAAAAAAACAAAAAAAACAATGAGAGGAGAGGTGACTGCTGGAAGTCAAGACGTCATATTTAAAGGAGACCTATTATACTTCTTTTCCAGTCCTATATTGTAGTTCTGTGACTCCTTTATGGCAGCTTTGCATGATTCAAAATTTTTTTTCTTAAACTGATTCTTCTTGTAGGCCTTCATTTCAGCCTCTGTCTGGTCAAGCTGTAGATGCTCCTGTCTCTTTAAGGCCCCCTCTCTCAAAGCCAACTGTCTTCTGATTGGCCAAGACCTGAAACATGTTACCAGGCTGTTGTTGTTGTTGCTGGGGGGGGGGGGGGGGGGGGGGGGCAGGCAGACTGAGCCCTGCCCTTAGTGTGGGAGCACATGCCCATATATGGAACACCGGCTCTTATTACCTAGAAGGGAGCCGTTGGTAGAAAAAGCAGTTCAAAACTGAGCGTTGAGAACAGGAGGAAACCCTGAGGTTTTTGCTCACAGGGATTTCTTATAAATGCTTTAACCTCATTATTTTAAAATTTGGCCATGTTTAACATGAACATCCAACATTATAACATTGTAGATAAGTCATAAAATGAGGAAAAGTATAATAGGTCTCCTTTAAGTTTATGTTCTGCTAGCTCAACAGTTGTTTGATAAATGGCTATTAAATCACATTAGGATTTCCCTTTGGCACTAGCCAAAGCCTCTTTGGGGGGTGCCAAAAAATTTCTCTATGCAGGACAAACCCTGCATGTATGTATAAAAGAAAACATGTTCAAATCCCACCAACTACACAACCGATCCCTACCTGGGTCTTCCCCGCTAAGTTAGCCTCCCCCTAAGGTTACAAGGGGCTCTCCTCGTAACAGTGGTCGCCACTTGCTACGCTGAGGCCAGACGCTGACCTGACCCAGGGCTCTCTTGACGGATAAAGCAATCATGACAGGACAGCCACACGACACGCAGCTTTGCCAGCTCTTCACGCAGAGGACAAAAACACAACACACCCGGGGCTCACCAACAGGTACCTATCGGCTAATCACCGCACACACTGCTGAACTGCCGGTGTTCTGACGATATATGCTGCCTTGTCGAAAAATGCTACCGTAGCGCAAAACAAGTCTATCGAGTCGCTCTGCCCTATCGAAAAAAGCTACCTTATGTCTTCCCTTTTCTAATCCCATAGTTATGACTCTCACAGTATTATATAAATTTAATGCTCTGTATTTGTATAGCGCCTTTCTAGTCTTTGACCACTCAAAGCGCTTTTACACTACATCTGCATTCACACACATCCATACACTGGTGGAACAGCCATTATGACATCTTCTGTTTTTTTGATTACATTGTAACATAATTTCAGGGGTACCGTATTCTGATATCCCCTAATCAAATAATGCTCCCACTACGCCAAGCAGCCTATCTCGATAGGTAGCATAAATCGACAGAACACCGGTCCGGTCAAACTAACTGCCCCACAACGTCAGTTCACCCTGCTTCATATCCACTCGCAATGTAGGCTTATTTATAAAATAAATAAATTAATGAAAACTAAGGATATTTACTCTTTCATTTTAGTTAGTTTGCCAGGATACATACATAATCAAATATAGTATAAACTAAGACGAACCGGAGAACCACTCACACTAAACTTGCACGTTTTCTAGAAATTTACAAAAAATAAAATATATAGTTCTTTATTCCTTTGATACCTTATCACCAAGGTGCGAGTATATACTATGAAGTTTGCATCACAGTTTTCCTTTAGATGCTTCCTATAGTCTTTTATGTTGTGTCTGTGAATTGAGTGGTATCAGTTGGAAACTGTCACACACACACATTTGAACAGCCTCTCTTCATCCCCAGGACTAGCAAAATATGGAAGTTTACATACAGTTTTCACAACAGCGGCATATTTGATGTGTGGTAATGTTGCCCTGAAAAATGCTTCTGAAAAAGAAGCAAGGTGAACACTTTCTCTCACAGCAGCTCTGGTCATTGAAGCACACAGACAGGGTAGAATTGTCTTTGCCATTTTTCTCAAATGTTAAGAACAGGTTCTAGCGTTTAAAAGGTGACAACTGGACCTTTTTAGCAGCTGGTTAAACTAGGGTGTAATGATTAACAGTAAAGAAAGATTTGAAATTAACTGGGCTTACCGTGAGTAATCATAATTAAGGACAAAATATCTTCATCAGCTAAAAACACTGATGGGAGCCTGGGAAATTTTTGTTGAACACAATAATTGGAGCGAACATCTGAGTCGATCAACATAAGGTTTAAATGCACCCTTGCTGCTGCAATTATGATAAAAATATGAAATAGTCTTTAGGATATTCTTTGGTTAATCAAGGGTGCTCTGGAATAAGAAGATTCTTGTGAAGACTTACCTCTTTTTTACAAGGTCACACGGCTATACCACATGATTACACAGATTTATTATTCTGTTACTCTAAAAAAAGAAAAAAAGACCTTGACGAGAGCAGAGAGGACAGGACTACTGTTGTTAGAGGGAACTTTAGCATGAATACCATTAACCTGGTTTGCTCACGGTCCAAATATATACCCTTATTTCTCTAAGAGTCATAGAGATGATGTGTCTCACTAGATATGGCGGACTAGTTTACTTCCCATATCTATTGACACACTCTGATGTCAGTGAATGGCAGCAGAGATACCTTTCATTTTCAGCTCCCCCACCTAGGGGCATTATTACATCTCAGTCTGCTATCAGAGTAGAGCCTTTTGGAGCCCCAGTATATACAGGAAGTGCACATTATGCATTACAACACATGCTTCAACACGTTAACACAGTCAAAGAAGATTTGTATTGCCAGAATGCCCCGCTGAGAAATGCAAAAGAGCCGTTTACTGTGCTGCAGCCTGTTTAGCAGCTAGCTGACAAGCAGGAAAATTAAGCCGGAGTAGTCTAGAGACAACTGGGAGAATTGGGGCTCTACCCGTGCCTCAATGTGTAGTTTGCATTAACCAATTTATCATTCCAAGAAGAAAAACAACATGGTGACTAACAGACAAAGCACACAGATCTCCAACACCTGGTCACTTACCCCACCATGAGTTCACGCCCAATCAGAAAACAATAAATGTACCTGGCATTCATTCATTTGCAATGAATGCCGTCAACAAGTAGCATCCCACCATGACAGCATCAGCATGGTGCAAAAAGCCAGTGCCCGGAGCAACAAGTTGAAGTTGAACAGAAGTCATCTTAATGCATATTAACAAGAATCTCCTGTAGATACGGTCCGGTTACCATGACTTAAGAAAAAAAACCAAAGCTAAACTAATAGCTGGGCATAGCGAGACTTTATCTGAAGCAGCACCCCCACCCCGACATTTTCACACATAGAATCAACAAGGCCGCTGTGGTAACTGTGGGCGTTTTTCTCATTATTAGCTACTGGCTACTGCAATTTCAATGCAATCAAACTTTACAAGAAACTGTTCAGTGGGAGAAATATTCCGCTTTTGGTGTGAAATGTACCATCTATCCTTTTTTTAAATGTGTAATAAATCTTCTGACAACCATTCTTTTGGGACTTTCCCAAAATAAAAAGTTACAGAGCCAATATAAATGAATTATCTCAGATATTTGTGATTGGTTTGCTTTGTCAATGCAAAACTTATTGCTTATAACTATCAACAATGATTACATGCTTGACCTGGGAACCTTTGAGCTTCACTAGGGATCACAGGCAGGCTGTGTTGATGTGAGGAGCAAAAAAACCCAACTCTTCTGTCAACCTCTGAACAATTGTCATCTGCAGCAGCTGTTCTTACTAAAATTAAATATTTATACACTGAAAAAGGCTAAGCTGCAGGACCTTTTGTTAAAAAAATGTAGCTGGACACATTTTTTAGTACTGTGGTAGAAATGTTCAGTCAAACCTTTCAACAAGGTACTGAAGTTTAAGAGAGTTATTTAGCACCAACTAAAAATCTTTCTTCGGACCTACGGTGGTTTCACTTATTTTAGAAGATACTTTATTTATTTTAAAGTGAAACCACTTCTGACCTACAGTGGTTTCACTTATTGCCTTGCTGCAGTGGTGTGCAGGTGGACTCCAGTACCCTGTGACATCACTAATAAGTGCTGCTACTGGTTTATTTCTGACCACACCTAACCACCGAGGTTTAGGGGTGAAACAATCTTGAAACCTTTAACCAAAGAGGGCAGCAAAATTCTGCTGAAATGGATTTTTTAGGTTGGCAATGTTACCCAATTTCAACCAAAAAGTACGTTAGTTCAAAGCCCTAAAATAACATGTCCCCAGAATTTACATTCAGTATTTGACCCACTTCATAAAAGACCAAAGAGTTTAATGTTGACTACGATACTTAATCTCTGACAAAAGCATCTATCAATTAAAGCTTTAAAACAGCAAAGGAGGAAGTGAGGAGAGAGAAAGAACAAGAGACAAAAAGGACATTCTAAGAAACTAGGGGGATAAAGTGAAATCCCATTTTACAATACCTCTAGAGCAAGAGCTGTTTTGTCATAGGCGCATGGCACTCGTTTCTGGATGGCTTTTGCCATGACGGGGCCATTCTGCATGGACGGTAGAGGGGTGATAACTGCTCCAGGTGTTCCAGGGGGCAATGGCGAAGGTGTCTGGGGCTGGGCATAGGCGTGGACGAGGGCATGGGAGGGCTCGGGGATCCCATAGCTATTGGAGTTGCGAGATCCATGGGAAGACTGGCCAGCATGAGGTGAAGGTCGTACCAATTTCTCCACATAGGGCACAGGGATCATCCCAACACGTCCCTCTTTACTCTTGGCACTCCACCACTGCTCCTCAGGCTTCTCCAGGATGATAAGGATCTCCCCCTTCTTGAAAGGAAGGTCCTCTGCATCGCTGCCAGTGAAGTCGTACAGAGTCCGCACATACTCCAGGTTCTCCTCTGGGCCACCTATGGGCTGGATAGGACAACTCCCAGTGCTTGGGTACCTTGAGAGATTATAATAATGAGGCAAAAGACATCAGGGACAGGTTCTCTCTCCAGCATCACATGCATTTCTTTTTTTTCCTTTTTTTTTTTTTTTTTAAATGGTGTTAAATATAAGCTGAGGTTAGATCAAAGGGGCCATTTTACATTTGTGCCTCTTCAAGGAACACTTACAAATGAATGCTTACTAATGCAGTGTATACAAGCAGTTGGCAAAAAGGCTTACATAAAAAATAAAAATAAAATAAAACTTTATATCCATCTTACAGCCAATGTCTTGGAGAAAGATATACATAATGACAACAACAAAAAACAAACACTCATCTGTGCTTAAATAGCTGAATGTATTATCTAGTTAAGAGTTACAGCTGTATGTAAGCAAGCATTGCTATTAGAGTACACAAACTGCAAACTTTACCAGCATCTTCGCTGGTGATTGTTTATTTTTTTCCCAACTTGGTGTGTTGGGACACCACCATAGACTTACTAAAAACAGTAACGGAAGTGTGGCGATAGTGCAACCAGTTTCAAATTTGACAAAGTAGATGCTTTGTAACATATCTGCCAGGGAATGCAGTCTGAGTGAAAGTGGGTTAGTTTTGGTAAAAATAGACATCCCAGTTGACCTACATTAGCCACTTTGGCATATGAAGCCTTTGCATGATGTTTATTTTACTCATGGTGTACATCATGGTAATCAGTGAGTATTGTGGTGAATTTCCTACCTGGGGGCTGGCTCTATCAGCGTGGTTGTATCCAGGTAGTGGATTTTGTAGAACTCCAGGAGAGCGGGGAGGTGCTCAAACTCTTGGTCGCCTATCTTAAACCTCTTGCTGGGCAAAGAATTGATGATATAGTGAGACACTTTGGAGTTTTCAGATACTGACAGCACGTAGTCGCCGGGGCAGGTCGACGAGTCTCGAACAAGAAACATGCCATGTCTCTGTCCTTGTAACCTATTCTGTGCCTCTTGTCGTGACACGGGTCCAAAATACCAAGAGGACCGATCGTGTGAATCAAACCGAGCACTTGACATTTCTATTCAAAAATAAGTTAATATCGGCCTACAAATAAGAAGAAAGAAAATTACAAAACAGACTAGATAATAACTTAAAACGTGTGATCGTGTTGGGGATTGCCCAATCACAGCGAATTGGAGGATTTGTAAGATGCAGGGCAGGGCATTCGCCGCCCTGAGAGGTTTTCGAGTGATTTCTGCACAAACGCCGCAGGCTCCGTAGACCTCGGATTTAAAAAATACAATACATCAACAACCTTGCGTTTTCAGAGACAGGCTGCGACTGGCTTGATCCAACTTTGGAGCATAATGTGTTCCCTGTGTTCACCAGTCAAGGGCTGCGTGATTGTTTTAGCGGCCAAAATAGAAAAAAATAATTCAAACTTAGCACAGACAAACGACGGACACAGAAGCAACAAATGATCAATGAAGCTTCCCTTTTTCGTTCCGCCTTCCGAGAAAACACCAGTCTTCTCTTGTTGTAATGTTTCTCCTCCAGTCACTGTCAGTTACGAGAACGGAAAAGGTGGCCTCAGTTTTTCATCTGTTAAATCCGCATGTCTTCTAAAGGCTGCCAGTGGCCGCGGGTCGGAAACGAAATGATTAGTTTGTATCTTCTTGATCTTATGGTAAGGCACACGTCATGGAAATGCGTTTTTGAATCCCCTTTCTCGAGTCGGAGCAGAGTTTTGAGGCAGCACGGCAAAAAAATGGCGGCCCGCAACACGTCTTCACACAAAAAAATATTTCACAGCAGCGGCTTGTCTCCAGCGCGTGCATCTCAGGAGCTCGTACGTTATATTGTAGCTTCCGCGTGCATTCCAGACTGCTCACGAGGGATCCCGGCTTAACGATTCTATATTTTATACTTTCCCTTATTTCTGCTCGTCCCCCCCCTCACCCGAGCCACCAGAAGTGCGAGTACGAGACCGAAAAATGGCGACAGGAGGGCAGGTCCCGCTTTCTAGCTGCACGTCACTGTTGCCTGGAGGGAGGAGGGAGGGAGGGAGGAGGAAGGGGGTGGGCGGGTGACGACGACACGGACAGCCCCCCCCCCCCCCCCCCCCATGAAGAGAGCAAGGTGTCAATCATGTTTCCATGACACAGCTACAGAACATTTTGTATGACAAACTAGATGGCAGTGGTGTCATCTTCTATGTCTTCATTGTACTATTTGTCTTTTTCTCATTTGGAGCAATGTGTAAGGGCAGTTTTTTTAAATGTAAAAAAAAAAGTTGATATTCATTACATTAACTCATTACATTAACTCAAGTATATAAGTATTATCAGCAAAATACATAATATAGAAGTATCAAAAGTACTGAGTATGCTGACAAACAAACAGCTCCTGTGAGTTTCGCATTTTCATATACTATATTATTGGACTGAGGCATTATGTGCAAGTAGCATTTTTGCTGTTGTATTTGATAGGGTGTTCTTTTGAACTACTTTATACTTAATCTACAACCGTTTTCTATATTAATCTGCAAAATAAGTATTAACTATAGATCTCAACGAAATATAATGGAGTAAAAAGTACATTTGCATTTAAAATGTAGTAAAGTAAAGTGAAGTATAAAGCATAAATATATAGCATAAAATAAGTATTGTACTTAGTTACTTTCCGCCAATGTAAACGACTATAGACATTTCAAAATGAAGGCCATTCGTGATGTTAAGGTCATACAGCCAAGATCACTGGGCTTCCTCAAGAGTGCTCCCTGAGCAGCATAAAAAGAGTTGAATTTTACTATTATAATGATAAATGAGTGACTTCGGATTTAATGCTTATATCTGATGATAGTCATCTCACCCAAATCAATCGTCTCAGATGGGTTCCCTGAAGTCTGGCCTTTTAATCGAGTACATGCTCTAATGTGAATCTTATTTGTAGCCTATTATGTATGTCTGTAGCTTTCTGGTGGTTCATGAGTAGTTTGAACAGTGAAGTACAGTATATTTGCTCAGTCAACGGTTATTTCACGCCACCAATAAAATGTTGTACATATTTCCCTATTTTCATTTCCTGTTGTTCTCCAGCTTCCTCTCCTTTTAATCTCATAATAAGTATTATCTGGCATAGAACTGTGACACATCGATTTAGAACTCCCACACAATATGCTGAAAGGGAGAGAGTGAATTTAAATGCAGGGGGGCAGTGCCTCAAAAGAAGTCTTAATAAAGAAAATGAAAGAATGTGTTAGAAAACACTCACTAAGCATGACAAGCCGTCCACTGTGGCAGGACAACTTCTGCTCATTAATGAAAGTAAAATATATAAAGAGGTAGTTCTGTTCCTCTGGTTATTGAGGTTTCAGTGGCCGTGCCTCATGAGGCTGCAGCTGGCACAAAGCAGCTCTCATCACTGCAGCACTGTCTGAATGTTAATAGATTTGCTCCCACTGGGTCTTAATGGCTAATGCCTGCCAATTCCCACATTTCCACAAAGACGCAGTGATGCAACAAATTGGAAAGAAAAAACAAACAAGGCTTCTTCCTCCTCAGAAGCACAAGTTAAAAAAATGTTGATATTAAAGGACACATATTGTTTAACTATTGATTTAAACCTTTATTTTAGCCATATAGTCTGGTAAGAATAAGGTAATGACAGACATTCAGTAAGATGTATTTTTAGGGAGGTTATAATTTTGACATAATAATTGCAAATTCCATGCTGAATATAAATAAAATAAAATAAAATAACAATTTCCATGAGAATTTCCATTTTGGAAATGAGGCTAAAACACATCCCTTTGTGTAACCTGCTGTCAGACATTTGTAGGTTTTGATTGAATGGATGCTCACTGAGGAGTTTCTTCAGAAACACCACCATCTAGTGGATGCATGCAAGATCAAATGTCTTGTCTTATTTAAACATTAGTTTAATAATTAGTTAATTACTTTTTCACTTATTTTAGACTGTTTAGACTGTTGCAGGGTGATGCAATGTTATAGAAACTGACAGACAAAGAGCTGTCAAGCACAACCTGTAGCCTTTAGCACATGTGCCTGAGAACAAATGCATACAATGACACCTTGACAACGCCTGCCAAGGGAGATTATCTTGCTCACTCCTCTGATTTTACAGAAACTTCTAGGAGCAAAATCAGTGGCCCTCGGGCACAGTATTGCTATTCCTACCAGTGGCTATGACTGCTGTATTAAGAATTTGCCTTAAGGCCTGGGCTGTATGAGGGAACTACCATTGTGATAGGTTCAAATCACCAATAGAAAATACATGACCTTTTAGAAATTGCAATGATACATTTATCTGCATGTAAAACCATTTTCTTGTTTGCAATTTTACGTTACTGTACCTCAATGTGAAATATTTTTCCATTAAAGCAATGGATTTTGTTGTACATGTATCTACTCAAACACAACAATGACCATTATGTTAGGCTTTCTTTATAAATTATTCTGTATTTTGTGGAAAAAAGGATAAATGAATAGCCTTGATCATGGCTATCAATGGTAGCATATTTTAACTTATAATTCCCCTACTCACAACACCTTGGCATTACACACATATAAACTGTACAAGGCACATGACAGTTGAAGAACGTCATTGGAAAGGTAGCCATAATGGATTTGTAAATGTGGACGTTGAGCTTTAAACTGTGTTGCAGAGTGGTCATTTAAGCCTGCTGGCTGAGCCAGCCATCCCCTTAGTCTATTATTGTTGAGACTAATGGTAAAGTCAGAGTTTGTTGTATGAGATGTTGCTGACAAAGTGCACATATAATTTCAGATAATATGGGCATTGCGTCAATTAATATAGGAGAGCTGGCATTAAGAGGTGCAGTTTTAGACATTGTTTACTGTGGAGCCTTAACCAGAAGTGAATTCAGTCATTCATTTTGCCTCTGGTAAATAGACATGAGTATTCAAGTATTAACACACCGGATTACTGTATAATCATTTGATTACGAATGGATATTTATTAAAGGTTATAGAGGTGGAGTATACTAAGCCAGGATGGTGCCGGGAATTGTCTGCCCCGCCTGATTTTTGGCAGTTCTTAACCTGCCCAACATTGTTGCACAACTCCAAGCTAAATTTTGATTCATGTTATGAAATTAGTGCTTTTAAATTTGTTGACTTTTGCATGGCTGTGTACCATCTCGCTGCTAAATGTTTACATGATGCTGAGGGGGATGAATTCACCACTAAAAATATACAATGAGGTAATTTATTAGGGTTCAAACAGCATTTGTGTCAGTTTATTGTGTTTGTTTCTGTGAATTAGTATTTGTTCGCTGCTTCAGCTCAAATTCCCATGAGCTGGAATAAGCTAGTTGGACCAATAACTGGCAATGATGTCCATGTGCTTCCACAGAAATATGAGCCCAATCAGCCAGATGGTGATGCTGTAATTAAGGCTCAAAACTTACATTTTTGACAGGCCACACCCCTTGCACTGTAAATCTGATTGACTTGAAAGTTAACGTCCAACTCAGTGTGCTCTATAAAAAAGCTGAACTTTTTTGAAAAACATAATGTTAACATCTTCTACTACATGATAGCTCCAACTGCTCACACATTTTCAGTGGTCCATCACTGGACCAAGCTTATCAAAAGTTGTATAAACCTTGTTGATATCTAATTTCACTTTCAAGATGGTGACCAGAGAACTTTTTAAAGGGGCGTGGCTCAACACATAAATAAAACTTAACAACCTTTGGGACAATCATAACAAAACTCACATATCATATAAGTGCCTTAATACTCTTAATTCACATTATGCAACTAAATAATATATCATATCACACACTTCTGATTTAAAGATATTTACCCTATATTTACATTGTCTTAAGACAATTTATTAGAGTTTTGTATTTTTGTGTTTAGTTGTACATTACATACTGACACTGCCACACAATGTAAATACAAACTAATACAAAACAGGCCTGAGAAATAAGCCAGGTCATTTTTTCTGTCTCATTAATTGCATGTGCTTTTAGAGACTTAACTTTGGTTGTTTGCACTGATCATTTCTAGAAATTTTGAATACTAAGCTTTTAAGTGACAGGTAACTTTTTTGAAGAGGATAATAAAAAAAACACACAAAAGAAGAAAAAAAAAAGTCCTGCGCCCTACAAATTCAGCTAACCAGTCACACTGTAAATTTGCTTGGAAATTATCCTAAAGAAACGCACCTGCTGACCCCTATATTCAGCTACGGTTTGTTATCTTGAGACCACGAGAAACAACAGTCGTTATCTCAAGATCATTAGCCCGTTATCACAGGAAACGGAGTAAAAAAATATTTGAATCAATGGTCGCTTAGAGTCAATGGTCGCTTCATTTCCGTAAAATACAACATTTCTGCAATCATATTAGCAGAATTACAACAAATGTGCAGTGAGAGCTACACTAAAACTAAAATAAGCAGCCAGTTTTAAGTTAGAGGTGTTGAACTTTAATAGTTTAAATGTCATAAAATGCACTGTTTGGTAAAAATAAATAAATAAATAAATAAATTTACCGTTCTCAGTACAAAACTAGATCTGAGACATTCTTTCCTCTTCTTTTTGTGTGCAAAATGAAATGCTTTTTTAAGTCTATAGACTTCATTTTTGTTTTTATCTTCTTATATAACCTGTCCTTCATTAGTAAATGTATGTTCCCACTGACGTAATATAGCCATTTAAAAAACATCAAATGAGAGAACATAAATAGTTCATATGGAATTTATTCCATAGAGTACACTCAGTTTTTGTGATTAAGGTTTTTCAGAACAGCCAGAGAAGCCCAAGTCCTGAGATGGATGTAGGTGAAGCTGTGGTAGTTTTGATCATGTCACTGCACCATTCTTTTGAAACGGTCTCTCTGCACAGCCCGGGTCCTCCTCTGTCTTTCTGCAATGGTGGAGCTGAGGCTCTGTTTGAGGGCTGGGAGGACCACCCCAGACTGAGAGGGTCCAGACCTGGGAAAGGAAACATA